TGCAGAAAAAGAAAACTAAAATTTGGCCTCTCTTTATAAGGATGACTTAGCAAACTATGGGACAAAAATTGAGTGGGAGAAGCTATCTCTTTTATTTTATGGAGAAAAATATTCATAAAAATTTATTAATGTTTCTATATATTCAGATAATAAATTTTATTTTTATTTTATTTTCCTGTCAACAAATAACACAAAAAGTTTAAAAGAAACAAAATTTTTTTCATGATCTTATTTTGTGTGCTCAAGAACTTCAAGCCTTTAAGCGGGAGATATTATAATACCTACATTGCATATTTGAGTCTCAACATTTTTTATCTAAGTATTTTTAAGTTATGATTAATACGTAAAAAAAGTTAATTGACTGATTATCGGATCGATTATCTCGTGACAACGGATTAGTATTATAATATGTTAACCCTTTGTTTTTAGAGATACATTAAAAGAAGAAAATATTTGATGAGCAACGAAGTTACCTCACATACGTTGCATCATCATCAACCATGGCCATGTGAAGCTCGTGGTATCTCAAAAATCTCATCAAATCTCTTATTTTACGTAAAGGTAAATCATTTCCTTAGCCTTTACTTCTTCCTTGTTGGCGATGTTACTTGCGCTGTCACCCTCTTCCTCCTTTCATGTATCCATGGCTCGACTACATCAGCTTCTCTCCGTCAGCGTTTGTCTTGGCATCATTAGAACTATCTAAACGCAATCTAAAGAAATCAGGCCATCTCAACATTCCACTAGATTAAAGTCTCTTTAATATCCTTGACAACAGAATCAGAGCCTGGCGACAGCTTCCTCTTGGAAGCGGAATCATCAACGATCGTACTTAGCGGTTGTCCCGAGACAAACGAGGAGTAAATTATCTTGGGCTGGTGCTAATTATTAGGAGACGCCACAAAAGTGAGGACGCTTTTATCTCGGTGACTGCCTCTGTCATGGAATAAACAACACTGAGATTTGCATGGATGTATTTCTTTGACGAGGATGAGTGTAGATTCTTGGGTTTTGTCTTGCATTCCTTGGGAAAGGATAGCTTGTTGGCCTCTCGATTTTGTTTAGCCTGGCTGGGTTGCACATGATATCGAAGGTGTCACGCTTGTGACATATTGTATGGGCCTGTTTGTTTCAGCACCTTGCTCGGTGCAGGAATAATATTTCCATCTCGCTTTACCAGTCTTTCTCAGAGCGCAGCAATCAGATCGATAGCAGAATGGAGATCGCTGCACTTCTCATGATACAGTTTTTTTGGAGATGTGGTAAGGTTCAGATTCCGGAGAACAAATTCCTCGGGTTATCCTTTTTCTTCGGCAATTAAACTTGCTTTAAGCAGATACATCACCTAATCGTGCTTGACAAGTGTGTCAGTCGTTTAGGTCTTCAAGAACTAACCAGATAAGTGTTGTGTTTCGGTTCAACAACAGTGATAGATGATCACAATCATGTTATTAGGTCGATGAGGAGAGTGTGCTCAGAGGATCAAAGTCACTTTTCCTTTTCGCTTTTGCATGAGGGCATAAGAAAGAGGAGATTCGATCAGCACGAGCATCTATCCGAGGTGATCAGTCATCAGAACATTATATTGGGAGTGAGATCGACAACAATTTCATCGAAGAACTATCTATAATTTCATCTTATAGTACAACATAATGATGCCTCCAAGCTGGTTCCCATGAGACTTTACAGCAGGGTATTAACATCTCAGGTTGGAAAAGCTTCCATCCTGGAAATGTGAATATGATGGATGGCTCAGTATGATTCTTACACCACTCATGGATTCCAATCCCATCATCACATGGGGAGAACACCCAACAAGTGTTGCCATTTCTCTCTCACCATTCACCGAAGCCTTTTGGTCAGCCAAAGTGGCCGAGTTTGATTCAGCATATTACAGACCAAAATAATCACCATAAGATTGAGCTTATTAGGGTTCTTTCGAGAAATACATACTCTTTCTTGTACATTGCATCTGTCTTCCAACGGATACCGTCGCATCCCCTCATAACCTCCTTTCATCGTATATGTTTGGGTACAGAAAAGGGCTCACCTCATTCCAGTTCATGTTCTCCTCCGACTTAGTAGCTGCGTTGCTCTCATCCACCGGGCGGTCCGCCCCTTCCATCTTCGTGAGGTTGAATCGAAGTATCTCGTCGAGCTCGGTCGAAAAGCTAGTGGGACATAGCAAAGCTTGAGCACCTGAGTTCTGCTGTAACGAAGACCATGCCAAGCTAAAGGGGTCGTCGTAGATCTGCTGCTGGGGAACTGTTGATGGCATGACAAGAGAATTACTTGCATCTCCATCGTCAGAGTCTCTCACTCCATGCTCATTCCTCATGGACGCCTGTCCCTGGCCGACGTCATGGCATACGTGATCGATCGGATACGTTAGAGCAGGTTGATGGGGCCATCCGGTGATGCCGAGATCTCCATGACCATCTCCCCTAGTTTCTTGCTTTGGGTCGGCGGCAGAAGTCTCCTTTCGCTGCTTGCCTAAAAACTTCTTCTTCAGCTTTGTATTCCAGTAGTTCTTGACGTCGTTGTCTGTCCTTCCGGGCAACTGTGACGCGATGATAGACCACCTATCGGCCGCCGGCCACCGACGCGATAGAGCACATGAGCAAAGCATCAAAGGATACATAAACAAACACATGCATGCTGATCTATCCGGTGATCACCTGCTACCGATGCTTATATAGAGGCGGAATATGATGTTGTCTTCTTCCTCGGAGAACCCTCCATGCTTGATGTTAGGCCGAAGGTAGTTCAGCCACCGGAGGCGGCAGCTCTTGCCGCAACGCTTCAGGCCTGATCATGCAACGAAGGAACACGAGACACCATGTGAATGTGACACAAATTTGCTTGCTAGGATTCGATCTGAAGGTGGAAGACAAAAAGTGTAGCATATACCGATCTTGTGGGGGAGGGCGATCCAGTTGCCGCCGGTGCCGTGCTGCTCGATGTAGGATTTGAGCTTGGCGTCCTCTTCGGGCGACCACGAGCCTTTCTTCACGTTGGCTTTGTCACAGCAGGGTGCTCTCCCCATACCGCTTGCCTCGTGCTTCCTTCCTTCCTTCACCAAGTTGTGGTCTTGAGACTTGAGAACAAGGGGGAGGCAGCAACGCTTGAATGCCTATATATGATTGATGTATACCTGCGGTGGGTGCTGAATGACACTCATGCAGAAATATTAAGGCAGATGGAGCACATGACAGCAGATGAAATGCATATAAATTTATGCCTTTACGCAATTCTTGCAAGAAACATTTGCATATGTAGTAAACAAATTAAAAGGCCTTTGACAAAGTCGGATGGATAGGTAATCAAACTTTAGAGCGAAAACTACTGCTTTGTTATGAATCTAACCACTCTCCCAAGTTCTTAGAATGGGATCTCTATCTGAAGCAAAATGATATGCATCAGTTAATGCAGTCAGGCGAGCTTTTCTCTTAGTAGAAGAATAAATGATGACTTCAGTAAAAGATTTGCTGACCAAATTCTCACGTCCTATCCAACCCCATCAACCACGTCATCTCGACACATCAGACGACCGAGATTGACATTAACGGAGGCCCAATCGAGGGCCGGTGGCCCAAATTAAGCGGCCCAGATTGGAGGCAGGTACGGTGTTTTTGTACAGTGGACCGTTGAAAGGCGTATGGTTTAAGACCTGCTGTTTTGATTGGGGAGCGGAAAGCTTTGACGCAAATTACGAGTGTTCACTGAACACAGTCACCGTCATCGCAATTCCAATGTAGCGAGTACGTCCCAATTCTCCAGCGTTCACTGAACTCGGCCTCTCGGGATGGCGACCATATCCGGTAAGGAGTGACATAAACATTTGCTCGTTGTGACGATGTTTGCGGGGAGTTGCCAAAACACCCCCCCGGTTTGTCGTGGAATCCATGCCTACTTAAGCCGCGGGCGTCGCCCCCGAGTTCCTCCTTCGTCGTCGGAAGTAGTCATGGCGAAGAAAGGCGTCACCAGCCAAGGGCGCAGGAAGATCGAGATCAAGAAGATACAGAACGAGGACGCCCGGCACGTGTGCTTCTCGAAGAGGAAGGCCGGCATCTTCGCCAAGGCCAGCGACATCTCCACGCTGTGCGGGGCGGACGTGGCGCTGGTGGTGTACTCGCCGGCGGGGAATCCGTACTCGTTCGGCAGCCCGGCGGTGGACCCGGTGGTCGACCGGTTCCTTTCTGCCAGCTTGATCCACGGCGGCTCCGCCCACGACGTGGGCCGAAGCCACTTGACGCAGCAGCTGAACCAGCAGTACATGGAGGTCTCCAAGCAGCTGGAGGCGTCCAAGGCCCGGAAGATGATACTGCAGGAGCGGCTGGCGGGGGTGGTCCAGTCTCAGGAGATCGAGTGGGCCAAGAACAACATCGACCACCTCGGCCTGGAACAACTCGAGCGGCTCAAGGACGCCTTCGAGCGTCTCAAGGGCAGAGCCGACGCCAGGATCCAGGACATCCTGGGGACTGGGCAGAGGATGGCGCTGCACCAGCCGCAGCCACCGCCGCCACCGCCGCCTTCGATGATGGGATTCGGGGTTCCTCCGGTGGGTGCCGCCTCCTCCTCGACGTCGTACCACCCGGTCTGGACATTCAATACATTGCAGGTGCCGAACCAGGTGGAACCGGATCCGTATCAGGCACAGTGGCTTGGCAGTAGCATGGGTTACATGCATGAACCCTGACCTCAATCCTCTTCTCTCTCTCTCTCTCTCTCTGTGCTTCGAATCGTTTCGTTTGTGAACCTAACTTGATGCTTTGAACAATTCGTGCTAGCATTGCAGTGATAGATGACGGAATAATGTTCCTGAACTTTATTTTATTTTATAGAACTAAATTCTATTTACTATGAATGCTGAATATTTGCATACTTTCTGCATCATCAAACTCTCTTATGTTAGAGTGTTGTTAGTCTTCTTATATTTTAAATGTAATCCGTGGATTTGTATAGGGTGAAACCATTAATCGTGTGTAATCAAACCATCCCAAAAGGGCAAATTTGTGTTCGACTCCGCTCCATTTTGGCAAGAAAGGTGACGAAGAGAGACGCTTCAATAGAAGATTGTGCTTTGCTTTCGAGAATTTAAGGGAAGGATATGGATGTTTTGGCTCCGCAATTACTGACGTTGAGCTCATCTTCTTCTTCCTCGTCTTCTCTTTGGATCTCAATCATCGTTAGTGTCCCTGCAAGGTGCCTAATTCTCATCGTATATATGCGTGCACATCCAGTAGAGAAAGATGGGTGAACCTACAGAAGCTTGGTCTCTGATATGTGTCATGCCAAGCCCTCGACTCCATGAAAGACTTCGTTCCTTGTCATGCAGCGACGACCTGATGCGTACGTCCACCGGAAGAAGGCAGACTGCGAGCTCGAGGATCCGGGTGGTGCGGGCTAACTCGGCCGCGCTCAGGGAACCTGCGACGACGGCGATACCACTTTGACCTGCTACTACGACCCGCCGGGCAACGTCGACGGCGAGCGACGTCCTTGCTTGCTCATTTTGAAGTGGCTGCTTTGGCTACCTGAATGATCAAGGTAAATTGCTCTCGTCTTCCTTGGATCTAATCCAAGAACGTTTCATCTGTAGCGTGCATGGCTTCATCTGTGTCCGTGTGAGAGAGCAGACATGGACGGCGCACGTCGCCGTCAAGAACGACGACGAGAAGAAGACCGGCCAGGGTACGCACCGCATCCACCTCCTCCTCCGCCGGCAGCTGCGTCATCCTAGTAGCTACAGTAGTTAGGGTGCCTATAGAAGCCCTCTTCATCGAGCCTTTGTGTCCCAACCTAGCTGAGGTCCAACTTCGAACTCGATGAACGTGTGGGCTTCATGTTTTGAGCACCAAGGTTTCTTTCCACCCATCCAACTTTGATGATGACATGACTGCCACCAAACCCTATGCTCCGGCACATTGGTCCACTCATGGCCCGCTCGTCACATGGCCATCTCGGTGCATGATCCCTGAGTTTGGAATACATAGACACGAAGAGTTGCATAAAAGAATTAGTCCGCGAGAGAGAGAGAGAGAGAGAGCGAGAGGGGTGCAGGGAACTACAGATGTACAGAACTGATCAACTGTACACCAGAGCTTAGAACATATAAACACAATGACTTTTGCAGAAAGGAATAAAAGATCGAGAGAGAGAGAGAGAGAGAAAGAGAGTTGCAGGGAATTAACAAGAAATGTACAGAACTGATCAACTTTAGCTTTTACTGTTAAGCATCAATGCTAAGAAGCACAAACCTAAATGCTAAAACAGTGTAACCGATGATCCGTAGTGGAGGCAGTAACGTCCAACCTGAACAGAGGACCGAAAGGCCTGAGCTGATCAATGGCAGCTCGATGTCAGTGTGGAAACGTTCTCTCGTGTCTGGCAGCTCTCTCTCCCTCCCTCTCTCTCTCTCTGTGGCCGAGTTACGAAGGCACGCAGAGAGTGAGGCGAGGGGCCTCTGCACAGTGTTTGCTGCTGCTTCATCGTGGTGATGTCTATCGCTTTACTGAGCTACTTTATGAGACAGCAGGAGAGGCAGGAGGCAGGAGCGCGTGTGTCTCTCTCTCCGTTCTGTAGAGGGAGAGGACAGAGAGAGCGGTGATGGATGACAACACGGAGGAGCAGAGTAGAGCCCGCGAGAATCTCGCGGTCCAAACAGGAGTGTCAGGGAATACAGTTACTGTTCCATTATACGTCTCAAGTCTACGGTTTACTGTTCACCACACATGTGCACACCCACACGTCCTTCCATGCATGCCAAAACACACATGCACGAGACGATTCTTTTCGAAACTTGTTCTCGACTTACGTGCCATATACACCTTAATCATTTAAAATAATCATGGTAGCTCTAAGAATAATCATAAAAGGCTTTATACATATAGAATTAAGGGTTGTTTTCTTATGTATATTGATGTAGATATTTTATATTATCTATCCAATAAGCATCGACAAAGATACGGAGATAAAGTCATAAATATTTATAAAAAAAATTTATGATTGAGTCTTTTTTAGATACCGCGGGAGTCGTTTTATTATATATCAATGTATAATGAAAGATTGATTAAATTAATCGTAAATAAGATGTTTGAACATGTAAGAGATAAATACTCTAAGAAGCTAAATACTTGTCGGTATTGTGTGAGATATATAGTAGGACTACCATCATAAATTTAAGTGATTTCATAGTAGAGAGTGGAGTGAACCTTTTTAGCATTCTATATATTTATTTTTTATAATACATCTTGAATATAATTTTTTTTAAATAGAAAAAGTATATAAGATCTCTATGGTATTATTTTTTTGAATAAAAGATGTGAATATTATTTTCACTCCCAAAATATACCTTAAGGTTATTAGATCTTTGATAAAGGATCGATTTACCAACTGCCTAAGAAATTGTTTGATCTCTATGGTATTAATGCTTGTAATGATAATATCATCTGCATACACCAATAGATATATAATACTTCTTTTTTGTTTATCGTAGAAATAACAAGGTGTCAGACTTAGAGTTGATGAAACCAGTTAATGTAAAAAACAAGCTAAGTTCAATATACCAGACTCTTGGAGCTTGGTAAAATACATAAATATCTTTTCATAGTTTATAAACATGGCTTGGATATTGAGGGGGGATAAAGCTAAGAGGTTATCACATCAAACATATTCAGTTAAGGTCCCTTATAAGAAAGCATTGTTAACATTCAGTTTACATATGTGTTGTTAGGATCAAGGGTCGGCACTAGGGGGGGGGGTGAATTAGTGCAGCGGTAAAATAACATCGGTTTAAAACTTTCGTACGATAAAAATCGTTTCGCAAAGGTAATACGTTGAAAGCCTACGTAAACGTATTGAAGGCAGTAAGTTATTAAAGAGGTTCACAGTATGTAAATGGCAGGAAGTAAATGCAAACCGGAGTTTTAGAGTGTTTCGGTCAACGTGACCTATATCCACTTTCGGCTTCCTCCTCCAACGAGGTCACTGGCGTCCACTAGAGGCATTCCTTCAATAGGCGAAGACCAATCACCTTTTATACTCCTCTTCTCCTTTTCACGGGTTTAAGATATAACCCTTACAAGTACTCACACT